GCTAGTTTAATTTAATTTGTTGCTGCTGCATGTTTACGACTATAGCAGGGTGAGATTTTCTGCCTTAGGTACCAGAATAACGTTGGCCTTGACTTGGTGTGAGGAGGAGGTACTGTTTGCTGTTCCGTCTCAGGCGGCAGACGTCTTGGGGTGGCCCTGAATGGGGTTCCAGATTCCAGCCATTAAGTTCAAGAGAATTGGGAGCTGAGCTGTCAATGGAAAATGGATACCGACCTGGAACGCCTAAACCCTGTCATGCCAGAGTGGGAGGCTTCCTCAATGAGAGGTGTTACAATCTTCTCTGTCATGTCAGTCAGCACAGTGAAAGTGGGCTCCACAATGAAATCAATAAAACCTGGAAAAGACACACAAAGGCAAGAGGATCAGCTACACTGGCGTCAATGTGTTTGTCAATATTCATAAAGAAATACCTGCAGGAAATGCGTCAATAGCTCACAGTGTGAATCCTCGCACAGGCATTAACATCTCATTGTAAGATTATTCTTTAAAACGGTGAAAATAATTTGCTGCAGTTCGACACACGGCAGATGGGACTGAGATTGTTTTGTGTGGGCTTTGGGGGAATCTGAGTCAAATTCCAAGTACAGCTGGTTGATGAGTCTGACCCAGCTTGAAGGATGAAATTTATGGAAATGCTCTAATAACAAAGTGAGGAATGCTTCGTGGTCGTGAAGTGTGCAAGGAAAAGTGGCACATAGCTTCCCTTGCACTCTGTTCATCTAAACTTTGCATTTGACTTACCAGCAAGAGTTATCAGAGGTAATGTCATGTATTTTCTGTAAATCAAACCTGATGTTCAGTTATTAGGTCGTTTTGGATGAATAATATAATAACATAAATTGGCTAGTAAGGAAGGCTTATTATCAAAAGTATCTTGTGGTATAGGGTGCATATTTCAGAGCAGGAAAATTGGAAACCACTGTTTATGTATTATTCACCATTTGCAGAGCAAATTAAACAAATTGGGTGCTATGTTACAGAAATGTCTAAAGAAACACCATCCTTGTTAAAAAATATGACCGCTAATGTCAAATGTAATTACAATTTCCCATAATCCACTTATTTAATTTCGTTTGCATGGGACACGGAACCCACTTTCCATCAGCTAGGAGTCATTATATCTTAGCTTTTATATCAGGAAATGAAAGTAATCAGAGCAACCATTTAAACTGAGCAGTGGTTCCTAAATCATCTTCCATGTATCATCTGTGGCATAAAGCCTACACTAGCAGTCCCCTTCTGCCTCCTTCCTTTCTCCCAGTCCACAAACAACCTCAGAGGATGTTCTGCAGAAGTACTCATCATCCAGCAGACATTAAGGTCTGTTCCACACATTATATTTTTTATGTATACAATCATACTTTTAAAAATGTGGCGCTGCAGGTTTAAACCACAGAGCTTGAACTTGCTGATCAGAAGGTTGGTGGTTTGAATCCCCGTGACAGGGTGAGCTCCCATTGCTCGGTCCCTGCTCCTGCCAACCTAGCAGTTCAAAAGCACGTCAAAGTGCAAGTAGATAACTAGGTATGGCTCCGGCGGGAAGGTAAACGGCGTTTCCGTGTGCTGCTCTGGTTCGCCAGAAACGGCTTAGTCATGCTGGCCACATGATCCAGAAGCTGTATGCCGGCTCCCTCGGCCAATAAAGCGAGATGAGCGCCACAACCCCAGAGTCGGTCACGACTGGACCTAATGGTCCTTTACCTTTACTTAGACGTGTGCAGGGATGGGCTTTGGTCATCTTTCGTAATATGGCCAAAATTTGGCGCCTCCAAACGGATCTTCTCAATTTTGCACCCACCCCTTTGCTCGGCACCCTGTGCGCCTAAATCCAGTGCTGAGATGTAAAATGGAAACGTAAGGGGAGCCCTGCTGGATCAGCCCAAAGGACCATTTAGTCCAACATCCAATTCTCACACTATTGCATTTTTAAAAAGTGAAACCAAACTGATGGAGGAAAAGTCCTGAGTTCAAGTGGGGGAAGGGCAGTGAAGAGGGATTGGAGGGGTGGGGGGCAGGGGTGCCAACTTGATTAAAATATTGGGGAGCAGGTAAGCCCTGCCCCACAAAATCAATCACATGAAGCAGTGCACGCACACCATCTGAATGGCAATGCCCATCAACCTTGGGGGCTCAGCCCCCTAAAATATTTTATTGGGGGGACGAAGACCCCTCAGCTCCTAGGAGTTGGCTCCTTTGGTGGGGGGACACATACCAACACAGTGACAGCCTGCAAAAGTGTAATAAGTGATCCACAAATGGCCTGTCTGCTTCCTCTACAAGAGCTCTTGTGCGCAATCTTTTCCCTGTCTCAGCATCTTACCTTCCAACTAAAGCAGTTCACTAGGTGGGGAGGAGCCACTGAGAGCTTCCTGGGCCTATCACTTATTGAGAGGGAAAGGGCACAGGCAGCAAGGAGGTTGGTGCAGAGCAAATGCACCAACCTCCCTGCCTTCTCTCCTCTCTCTCTCTCCAAGCTAAGCAGCAGTGGCCCACCTGTTGGGAAATTCTAGCAGTGGCTCAACTGCTTCTGCATTCCTCAAAATGGAAGCAGCAAAGGCTCCCTTCTCTTCATCCCTGAGTGGGAGGAAAGACACTCGAGTGCAGCCTTTCTCAATCTGTGGGTCCCCAGATGTTGTTGAACTACAACTCCCATCACCCCTAGCTAGCAAGGCCAGAGCTCAGGGATGATGGGAGTTGTAGTCCAACAACATCTGGGGACCCACAGGTTGAGAACTGCTGTGTCTAGTGCATGAACAGGAGGAGGAGGAGGGAGAGGCCACTGCTGTCACCGCCAACCAGAAACGTGAAAGCGTAGAGCACATGAAACACCGTAGAAGGTTAGTAGTGCGGTTTGGGAATCACCTAAGATAGCCCTTTGTTCCTGATCAACATTTAAAAAAGAATCCAGGGACCAGTTAGTTAATGCACAACAGGTTCAGATATCTCAGCGTGGCATAAGCTCCATGTGATCATCAGTGTTTGCCCAGCACGTTCAGAAAGTGTGGGCTTTCTCCTTGCCAAGCAAAGGGCAGAAATGAAAGGATGTCACTACGCTGATCAGTGAAAAAAGGCACTGATGACAACAAGGAGCAAAGTCTCCAATCAAACAAGCCTCCCACAGCCTCCGAGAGAAGAAAAAGCGTTTGCATCTTTTAAGCTTCCTGTTGAGCAATAGAAAATTCTTGGCTTGGTGTTCTGCAGCAATTTGGCCTGACTTGATGAGAGAGCAGACTGGGTTTTCAGATATTGGCGCTGGACTCGTGGTGAAATACAGTCCTTAGAAAATAAGCTGGTCTTCAAAAACAGGCCTTGACAGTTAAATTGCTTCATTTCACCCGTGAAAACAGTTCTCTGGATGCAGAGGGGAACTCAGCCCCAAATGTTTGATTGTATGGTACGTCTTGTAAGAAAAATAACACCAACTACGCTTCATCAGAAAATTTCTGTCAGTGACATAAGGTGAACAATAACATTCTTCCATTGACAGCATCTTAAAAAGCAGAGACATCACCTTGCCAACAAAGGTCCGTATAGTAAAAGCTATGGTTTTCCCTGTAGTGATGTATGGAAGTGAAAGTTGGACCATAAAGAAGGCTGATCGCCGAAGAATTGATGCTTTTGAATTATGGTGCTGGAGGAGACTCTTGAGAGTCCCATGGACTGCAAGAAGATCAAACGCATCCATTCTGAAGGAAATCAGCCCTGAGTGCTCACTGGAAGGACAGATCGTGAAGCTGAGGCTCCAGTACTTTGGCCACCTCATGAGAAGAGAAGACCCCCTGGAGAAGACACTGATGTTGGGAAAGATGGAGGGCACAAGGAGAAGGGGATGACAGAGGACGAGATGGTTGGATAGTGTTCTCGAAGCTACCAGCATGAGTCTGACCAAACTGCGGGAGGCAGTGGAAGACAGAAGTGCCTGGCGTGCTCTGGTCCATGGGGTCATGAAGACTAAATGACTAAACAACAACAACATTCATTTCTGACTTCAGCTCTGAGGTGAGAAACTTGCATTGGTGGATAGGAAATAGGGAGGGGGGTGGATATGATAGTTCTTGGTTCAATCGCAGCCGCTATATAAAGTCATTAGACAATTGCCCACTGAGCAGCAGACTGAGAAATGAATATTTTAAAATGTTAGAGCATGAGATTTACAAAGAGAATGTGATTATTAATGTCGGTTAGAGGCAGTAAACTTCCGCAAATTAAATAAAATGCGAAGCAGCACAGGACTGTATAAATCAGCCTTTAGTACGGATTGAGTGCTTGCTTCGTTTGCCATAATTGCCTTTGCTAATGGCATAATTTGCCATTAATTCTCCATTGATTTGGGCAATGGATACGAGCCTTTTTACTAAAGGTCAAATGCTGCCAAGAAAACAAGACCAAGGGGTAAGGTTCTCTCCTTCGTGGTCTTGTGACAAGTCATTCCAGCCAATTCTGCATATTACCTACTCTGGCTCATAGCAACTCTCTAAGGTCTTGGGACATGAGAACCTTTTAACCACAGGTTCCAGGGATATAACTAGGTCTTTATTGATACGAAGCAGAAAAAAATCTACTGAACTATGGCCAGATCTGAAATATGACCTGGCTTCCATCAAAATTCCTTGAATGCTTCACTCAAGCAAGAACACACATACAGTGGTACTTTGTTTCTCAAACACCTTGGTACTCAAACTCCTTGGTTCTCAAATGCGAAAATCTGGAAGTAAATGTTCCGGTTTTCAAATGTTTTTCGGAAGCCCAACGTCCGATAAGGTTGTCAGCTATTGTTTCCGGGGCACCTGCACCAATCAGAAGCTGTGCCTTGGTTTTTGAACATTTTGGAAGTTAAACAGACTTCCGGAACGGATTAAGTTTGGCACTTTTGTTTTTGCTATTTATTTTGTGTTTTTGTTTCTGAGGATTTTTAGGTTAATTTGTTTTTGTGACTGTGTGGAGCCCAGTTCAGCTACTGACTGAATGTGTAACTGCAGAAATGGATAAAAGCCTCTCATCCAAACAATGACTATCATCAGTGCAGGTAAGAAAAAAAATGAATTTTAATTTTTATCATCTACAATACTGTCTTATTTATTTTATAGTACAGTACATTGTTTATTGCTTTCATTTTATGGATCAATGGTCTCATTGGATAGTAAAATTCATGTTAAATTGCTGTTTTAGGGGTTGTTTTTAAAAGTCTGGAATGGATTAATTCATTTTGCATTACTTTCTATGGGAAAGCGCGCCTTGGTTTTGGAACGCTTCGGTTTTGGAACAGACTTCTGAAACGGATTAAGTTTGAGAACCAAGGTACCACTCCACTGTGCTTTAGGCAATTCCCCTTTTCTCCCTTCTTACTTTCCCTTTTGCAGAGTCTTTGTGACCACTTTCTCCTTCCTCCTCACTTGGGAAATGTAGTCTTTCTGGATGTACTTACCTACTTGAGACTGAGGAACCATGGTGGATTTACGGTCGCACAAAGGGGAAAAAGGAAGCCCTAGCTCTGCTTCTTTGTCACCCTGAAGAATAAAGAGAAAGAACAAAAAGAAGATTAGTACAAACCAGGAACGTAAAGGGCACAAGTCATGTTCTTGTTCACTTTGCAGTCATTTGCATGGGAAATGCACAGAAAAAATTCCCAGTGCACTGTGATCTTAGCCAAACTATTGACACTGGGTGCAAAAAGAGAGGTACATGTTGTCTGCAAGACTGCCTATAATTGCATCCGCTCATGTAGATTGCAGCCTAGAAGCAGAGATATATTCAGTGAGACTTTGGCTCTTTTTTAAAAAATAAGGGGCAGCAGATTTCTCCCTCTCCCCTTATTCCAATGACCTATCGAATTGTGCTTTAGAAACAGTCTTGTGTTTCCAAAACAGATAGCCATAAAGCCTGAGGACGTGGAGCGAGAGGCAAAGTTGCCAACTGACTTGTGGGAGGGGGGAGACACCCTTGCCTTGGTCCACATAAATACTCATCACAATATTACACATGAAACATGAGTAATCAGTGGGACAGTAAGCATACTCTGGCCTTTTATGAACTACTGGAATGTTCTAAAGGATATTTAGCTGCAACAGGGCTTTCTGTGAAGAAATGAACACACTCTGGCCTGGTTCAGACATAACAACAATAGAATGCTTCTATTAGGACAAACTAGTATGAGTGATGGAGCTATATACTCTCCCTTTGCACATGCAGGGAGGAGATTTATGCCTTCGGGACAAGCTTGGGAGTAAAACAAAATGGGAAACTGTGATGTAGAACAAGCCAGGAACAAAAGCTTTAAATCTCCTCCCTTCAAGGGGAGGGGGAGAATGTGAGCCCACAGCTCAGGCTGGCTCACACCAGCTTACAGCAACAGATCATGCCCTGTTGTCACATCTGAACTGGGCATAGGATATGCTATGTTATTAGGATTTTCATTGTTGTATTTACTGATCATCCGATGTAAGCACACAGATGCCTGTGTTGAATTCCGCTAGGAAAAGGATGGAGAGAAACTCCTCCCTCCACATCTTTCTAAAGGACAGTAGACATCTCCCCGCACAGGGGAGCCAACTTGGGCAGGTCACACGTGCTCCCCAGTCAGGTTTTGAGGTCTCACAAGGCCTTGAGACCACAGAACCTGACTTCTGGTGGCGAGGCTTCAGAGATGCTCTCCAAGGCCATGTGAGACTTCAGAAGTTGCATTGGGGGCCCTGCAGTGTGGGTGCTCAGCACCCGCAACAATTTTTTGTGGGTGCTCAGGCACCCAGATTCCCTTTTAGTCGGCGCCCCTGCCCCCACAGCAGTATTTCATGCAATTGCGATGTCAACAAAGGCAGTAAGAAGATGCTACCCTACATATGTCCTACATAGCCGCCCTGAGCCCGGCCTTGGCTGGGGAGGGCGGGATATAAATAAAATTATTATTATTATTATTATTATTATTATTATTATTATTATTATTATTATATGTAAATATTAAGTGGTTGTTGTTGTTTAGTCGTTTAGTCATGTCCGACTCTTCGTGACCCCATGGACCAGAGCATGCCAGGCACTTCTGTCTTCCACTGCCTCCCGCAGTTTGGTCAGACTCATGTTTGTAGCTTCAAGAACACTGTCCAACCATCTCGCCCTCTGTCGTCCCCTTCTCCTTGTGCCCTCCATCTGTCCCAACATCAGGATCTTTTCCAGGGAGTCTTCTCTTCTCATGAGGTGGCCAAAATATTGGAGCCTCAGCTTCACGATCTGTCCTTCCAGTGAGCACTCAGGGCTGATTTCCTTAAGAATGGATGTGTTTGATCTTTTTTCAGTCCATGGGACTCTCAAGAGTCTCCTCCAGCACCATAATTCAAAAGCATCAATTCTTCGGCGATCAGCCCTCTTTATGGTCCAGCTCTCACTTCCATACATATTAAGTGGAGTGCTACCCAAATAACACGGAAAGAAAGAAAAGCAGCTTCATTTTTGCAAGTTACCTGTCTGAAAAACTCCTCTAGCAGGGACATGGTCCAGCGATGATGGAGGTCCCATGCCTTGGCAGGATGACTGATGTCGGCTGTATGCAACATCAGCGATAAGGCTTTCGGTTTGTCAATTCTGCAAATGCAAACAGTGGTATAAATTAATCGTCGTGCCGTAAGACTGGAAACCAACTGTGAAACAAGGAAATGAGGCTATTAGTGGCGCAGTGCTCCGCTTGCCCTAAAGGACCAGCCACCACTGTTTTTAGTGCTTCTTCTCCACAACAAAGGGATGGATTTCTTTTATCCATGCTCAGTTTTAATCCTTGCCAATCTGGAACGAAGTGTGTCTGTGCGCATGTGTGAATTCACTCGCTGTGAAAAGAAATAGGCATGGACATGAAATGATGCTGTCTTCCCCCTCAGAGAGATGCTTTTGAAGCTTGTTTAATGAAGTGGCAAAGTACCAGCTGGAGGAACACAGCCCTCCCCTCCGCACAGTGTCACAAGGTGACTCACCCTTCTGGCTGCTGCAACGCATTCTTCATGGCTTTGATTTGCTGGAAGTGACAGGACATATCTGTGGCCAACACCATCTCAATCACCAGAGTCCTAAATTCTCTTTTGGGTAGATATCCAGTTAAGAAGAGGTGGAGAAGAAGAGGGAGGGAGACAGAAACATGTAAGAAACACTTCTTTTGTTTCTCTATCTACAAATTATTTATCACATTCTCGCTGTACACTCCGATGTGCGTCACTGAGTACTTCACATTATCTTTTTTTTCCTGGGGCTTAAGGGCAGAGAGGAATATCTGCTGCAGATACCAGACCTGAAGTGAGCAAGTTAGTCAGATGATGTAGCCGCTCTTGCTAGGAGATAACCTTGACATCAGGGCACTCTGTTTTCTTTGAAACGCAAAGCTCCTGAATCACCAGGCCCTGTTTATATATGATGCTGAGCAGGCTAAAATTACACAAGGCCTAAATTTGGGAAGGAAAGAGGGGCTTCATCTAATAGGTCCAGATTAAAAAAAATGAGACTAAATTGTAGATTGTACTTGAGGACTTTATACAATTTCATTTCTCTATTATCTATACTGGGCACCTAGGGGTGTGTGGGGTGTTAGGAGAGTGGTAGTTTCTTGGGGGGGGGCACATCACGCTCCTTCTGTGGTAGTTTACTTACCTTTTCTCCCCACCCTGCACTTAGTTCGCACCCGTGACTCCTAGAATCTGTCCAATAAACACACAAAACGTAACCGGCTGTACTTTTGAATAAATAATGTACACTATTTATTGTATCAATTTGTAGATTTCAACAGAAGTCTCATAAAGGTCAATGAAAAAAGCAGAAGTATAAGTATCTATTCCACCTGTCTGTTCAAATAGTCCACATAAAGGGTTGTTATAGTTCCACAGAATCCTTTCACAGAGTCTCAGACAAGAATTTCCGGAATATTAGCTTTAATATTAGCCAGAATAGATACTTAGACATGTATCTATCTCATCAACTGACTAGAGAATGAACTGATCCACTGGGTTTTCTGATTTTTTTGTTGAACTTTATGAGATTTCTGTTGAAATCTACAAATTGATACAATGAATAGTATACCTTAGTTATTCAAAAGTACAGCCGGTTACGTTTTGTGTGTTTACAGAGTATGTTCCACGTAACCATAGGTTTGTTGTTGTAGCTTTGTGAATGTCCTAGAATCTGTCAACATGTGACAGCAGCCACACCCTGGAAATGGCTTTGACTCGCCGACTAATTCAGGTGAGAGTAGCCGATGGGTCCCAAACCCTCATTCGTTTATGGACTTCCCGTGCATGCAAATACAAACTCTGGCAGATCGAGTGGATGAGACCAGAAGTGGGTCCAACGTCAAGAAGGTAGTTTGTGCACATGCTCTGGAAGGAAGGTTGGGGCATCAACCTGGGAAGGTAGCCCATCTAGGAGAAGGACAACTCTGATCCTAAACCTCTGCTGCCTTGCTGGATATCTTTGGGAGAAGAAAAGGCCAAGGAGTGAATCCTATACAAATCCAGAGTGGAGTCCCTAAGACAGTTGGATAGCGCCTTGTATGCTTTGCCTTCTTCCAGCATCTTTTGCAACCAAGCTGGTGCCAAACGTATTGCTCTGCTTTCCTTTGGTCCACTTCAGTAAAGCCAAGAGCAGCCCAGGATCCTCAAATACATTGCCCAGGCAATGTGCCCTGTGGAAGTCACGTCGGTGCTACTAACACAGAGGTTTGACTTCACTCCCAGAGGCGTACTCCATTGCGTCTTGAGGCAGACGGATGCCAACAAAACAATATTGGGCACCCCACATCTTGCCAGATATTGTGAGGTATGTGGGAGCCAGTCTCTTTCTCACCCTTTTCTGGGGAAAAGGGGTCCAAGTTGCAAATTTATGGTAACTGATGCTAAGGCACTGTAAAGGTAAAGGGACTCCTGACCATTAGGTCCAGTTGTGACCGACTCTGGGGTTGCGGCGCTCATCTCACTTTTCTGGCCGAGGGAGCCGGCGTACAGCTTCCGGGTCATGTGGCCAGCATGACTAAGCTGCTTCTGGCGAACCAGAGCAGCACACGGAAACGCCGTTTACCTTCCCGCCAGAGTGGTACCTATTTATCCACTTGCACTTTGACGTGCTTTCGAACTGCTAGGTTGGCAGGAGCAGGGTCCAAGCAACGGGAGCTTACCCCATTGCAGGGATTCGAACCGCCGACCTTCTGATTGGCAAGTCCTAGGCTCTGTGGTTTAACCCACAGCGCCACCCACGTCCCTGTACCCCCATGTTAATTGAATGCTAGTTGCTACATATGCAATGTTGCCCACCAGCAAATGATCTACAGCCCCAGCTTACAATGTGTGTTGACTTGTTAATGCTGTAGCCCAATTCACACTTAAAGCCAAATATGTGTGGAACAGATATTTTAGACTGCCTGATGTCATGTTTAAGGTCATTAAGGCCGAAGTTCAATATTTTTGAACTCTCAGAAAGGGACAGGCTTTGCTTGGATTTGAGAAGAGCTTTCTGGATGAGGCAAAAGGACTATTTAGTCCAACATCCAGTACTCACAATGACCAGCCTGCAAGCGGAACCTGAGCACAAAAGCACTCTTGTAAACAAAACCTTGTTGTTGTGTTACTGTATGAGACTGCTTTCAGAAAATGATGCTCTTGATTCCAGCACAGAGAGAAGATTTTTCTATGGTTCTGTAGTATATTGAGGAGCTGAAGAATTTTCAGTTTGGAATTGTTGCGTCAACAATGGCCACTGAAGACACCAGTCAAAACGTATTTGATATTGGTGAGAGTCTTTGAAATATGTCTCAATGAACTTTTGGGAATCAACACATTGTGTGAATCCAACGTTTTGACAAGGATTGGTATGCATTTTTTACTGGAACTCAGATTCTACTTCTTTGTACCATTCCTGGAGTGGAACAGCTCCACTTGTCAGCACTCTGCAGAGCTCATGACAGCACCAAAGAAAAATGTAAATGTTATGTCTTTTAACGTGATTTATGCTACAACTTTGACATATTGCTTGGACCACAAATTGAGGACCACTTCTCCTCTCATCATTTGCTATCAGACTTCATCCTCTGCTGATCATCCATGTACCAAGATTCCCACTGAGTGCACTTGAGGGGTACACTTGGAGCAATCAGGCTGACACCCATCAAGGTCAGTAGGGATCCTTACCTCCAATCATCCTTTGAGAGGTTAGACAGGATATTCATCTCCTCGTCATCTTGCAGAAGGCGGAACGCCGCGCTGAGGTGATGGTTTTCTAACACAGACCGATCATTGTAAAGAATGGCTGTATCTGACCTATAAAACAAAGATCCCTTAACTATAAACATAGGTTGGAATTTTTATTCTTCCTCCAATGAAGGGAATATCTTTGCTTCACATTTCAGTATCTATTCATTGGCTCTAATCGTGTTATACTGGTGTGGAACAAATGAAAAACTGAGCTGAAGTACAAAATGAATGTACAAAGTGATACAAAAGGGACACCTGCTCATGGCATTCAGAGATGGGGAGTGGTTTGTCTTGTTCCAGAAACAGCAGAGCTCATTTTACTGGTGGCTGCCATTTTATTTACCCAGAATGCCTTTATAGTGTCATTTTGGGATGTTTTAGGAAAACATGGCTGCCACTGGGGGAGCTGCCATTTTTTAAAATGATAGCTATCACCTTTCTCTAGAATATTCAACTGGAAGATTCAATGCCTAGGGAATTATGGCTAAATAAAATAGCTGTTGCCAGAAATGACTGAACAAATGAGTGCTTCCATCAATGCCACTGCAAACAGCACAAAAGAAAATGGGGGAACCCAAGAAATATGGCAGAGAGAAGTAGAACAGAACAGGGCAGGCTGTCAGGAAAAATACATATCTTTATAGGGAGTTTTGAGACGATATTATTTGTTGTTAATGTCTTCCACTGAAAATAATTAAAAGTCTTTCTAGAATTATTTCTTCACAGTAGTATAATCCAGTAATTAGTAAAGAGCCTATTTGTTCACAAACTCATCAGAAATTCAAAGCCTCTTCCTTTTTAGTATGATATTAATTAACCTTTTCACTCCATAATAAATAGTATTTTTATTAATGATAAAGATCACTTCTGACTTAAACCAAGGATATTTAATTGTTTAAGTCCTACTTAAACAGCAATTGAAAGGTAAGCGTGGTAATACTAATAAGGCTGAAATCATGAGACTGTTATTCAACTCTTAATCAGTTCTCATCACTTAAACTGAAATATTGAAAATCTTGCACTAAAGTTATGGAGGATTATTTTTCTTCATTATTAGCTCCAAAGTGATTAGCTCCATCAATCTGAACTTCTTTTTATTCCTTCTGATTCAAAGACTGGAACCTTGCATTGAAACACACACACACACACACACACACACACACAGCATTCCATAATATGAATGAACTATGAGCTTTGATTCACAACAAAATGCTACATTAATACCACAGAGATCCCAAATAATCAACCTTATCAATTTCTCATTTAGTAATAGTTCAGTTTGAAACTTCCCCATTGGATTTTTTTCCTAAGTAATTTATTAACGTTTAAAGTCACATGCAGGCACAAATACCTTATTCTTTCCACCCATCTGTTAATATTTGCAGCTGCCATCAAAACCAGAGGTTCCAAGTTATGCTCCTCCAGTGCTTTGAAAGTTTATTTTTTAAAAAGGAACTAGTTCTAGTTCATCTTGTCCTCCTTGTTGTACCACTACACTATGAATTTAAATACCTGACAGTAAGAGATCAAAATTTACCTAAGCCGAAAGAGACCCAACATTTGAAATGTTTAAAATCAACTAGAAAATTGATTATTTGTGAAGAGCAACACTCACTCTTCTTTGGGGAAAAAATAGCCTCGTGATTTGGGAACAAAATGTGCCAAATTTAGGATTTGTAATCTGATTTTTTTCAACAAGCAGTATTAAATAAACATACAAGTGTTTGCAGACTCTAGTTCAATCTGCCCCCACACCCCCCAAAGCAGCTTCATATGGATATTATATGGACGCTTTATTTTCATTTACTGATTTTTCTTACTGTTTCTTCCTTCACAACTTTGTGTGCCTTTGTCGATGTTTCTGAATGGACTCACCGTGTCTGAATATGAAAGTTGTTTGTGGTTCCCGTGTGCTCATAGTCGTGGATGGCAGCAGCAAAGATCATAGCGAAGATTTCCAGCTCTGTCAACCAGTGCTAAGAAAAAAGAAAAAGATTTAACATCAGTCAGACCACATGGCACCCTTTCCAAACTTTGACAAGTGTTTTGTTTTGTAAGCCATGTTCTACCTGTTAGCCTAGAACGCTACACTCTGGTGCACTTTTCACCGCAGACCTTCCAAGATCTGAGGCAGTTGGCTTTGCAACTTTGCTACTAGAAATTCTTTTAAATGAATTATACTTGGGGCTTTCATCGTGCAAATCATGCACTCTACCAATGAACTACAGCAGCTACTTATGCATTGTCAAAAAAAGAAGACTAGAGATTTTTTATGGTAATTTAGAAATGCAATACATCTCACCAAAGTGGGGATGACTTTGCTCAGGTGACCTATGGACCTGCTCATTCTGCTATCTGGGTGCTAACTGCTGATCTACAGCTTCCAGGCTCCCTGCTCTCTCTTCTTAAAGTAAAGGTAAAGGGACCCCTGACTGTTAGGTCCAGTCTTGGAGGACTCTGGGGTTGCGGCGCTCATCTCACTTTATTGGCCGAGGGAGCCGGCGTATAGCTTCCAGGTCATGTGGCCATCATGACTAAGCTGCTTCTGGTGAATCAGAGCAGCGCATGGAAACACCATTTACCTTCCCGCCGGAGTGGTACCTATTTATCTACTTATTTATCCCTATATAAAGTAGGACCCTGGCCCATGAAAGCACACCTTTCTGATCCACAATGAAACACAAAATGTGTTTCAATATATATATATTGAAAGGATACCTACCGAAAGGATCCTGAAACGAACTGAACTAGCCCTAATCAGAAACGAACTACATAAGAAAAGATACCTACTAAACCAAACCAACAAAGATCTGCTCACTCTTCACCTCAAACTCTGTAACAAAATCCACCCTGCACTCTGGGACAAATGCAAACAACTAGCCGTCTGGAGAGCTGAAACTGAGACCTCACATAAGACAAACACACACACCAACAAACTCCACAAACTAGAGAAACGCCAGAAGCCCAGCCACCCTCCACAACAACCCATGAAACAAACAGTACATAACATATCAGACAGGATCCTCACCTCAACTGAAACCAAAGTACTCTCCAAAGGTTTCAACTTTGCAGTCGCCCCGAGACGCATCCCCACGGAAAACATCATATGCGGAGTCGAAGCTAGCCTAACCAAAATCAACCCAGATGAAGCCAATAAAATCAGACTTGAAGTCACCAACATCCTCTGCTCCAGCAAACCACCCAGAAGCAATTTACACAAAGAAGAACAGAAAGCACTCACCAACCTGAGGAAAGACAACAACATAATCATTCTCCCAGCAGACAAAGGTAATGCCACTGTTGTGATGAACACATCGGACTACCAAGCAAAACTATCAAATCTACTCCAAGACCCTACCTACCAACCTATAAAAACAGATCCCACCACCTATCTGGAAAAAACCACCAAATCCAAAATAAAAGCCTCTCCTATCAGTGAAGAAATCCAGCTAAGAATCATCCCCAGAGAAAAATCATCCAGATGCCCCAAACTCTACGGCCTCCCCAAGATACACAAAGAAGGAACACCACTCAGACCAATAGTCAGCTCCATAGGCTCACCTCTACAAAATCTCGCTAAATTTCTCGCTAAGCAACTGCAGCCCTATGCAGAATCCATCTCTTCACACGTTACAAACTCCTTCCAGTTCATAGAAACAATAAAGAAGCAAAACCTACATCCCAATGACCTACTTGTGAGCTTCGATGTTGTATCTCTCTTCACACAAGTGCCCATTAATGAAGCCTTGACAGCCATTCAAAACAAATACAATCCCCCCGAATACATCCTGGACCTGACCAACCACTGCCTAACCAACACGTACTTCATCCACAATGGACAAAGATACAAACAGATAGAAGGAGCACCTATGGGATCACCCCTCTCACCGGTCATCGCAAACCTGTACATGGAACACTTTGAAACCAATGCTTTAGACAAGTCAGAACACAAACCCAAACTTTGGCTCAGATATGTTGACGACACCTTTGTAATTTGGCCACACGGGAAGGAAAAACTAGATAGCTTCCTCACACATCTCAACAGCCTACACCCCAAAATACAATTCACTATGGAAATAGAAGCCAACAACCAACTTCCCTTCCTTGACGTCCTAATCTACAAAAAACCTGATGGCTCCCTAGGACACACTATCTACCGGAAAAAAACACACACCAACCGCTACTTACATGCACAATCACACCACCACCCTGCACAAATAAACTCCGTAGCCAAGACTCTCATCTCCAGAACCAAACGCCTGGCTGACAAAGACCACTTGACAACTGAGTTACAGAATCTCTCAAATGTGTTAATCGCCAATGGATACCAGCAAAACAGGGTTACGAAGCTAATCCAAAAAGAAACACCCCCCAAAAACCAAGACACAGAAGAAAACAATGGCATGGCCCTCCTTCCTTACATCAAGGGCACTACAGATAAAATTAGCAAAATCCTCCATAAACACAATATCAAAACAGCCTTTTGCACCAACCAAAAAATAGCCAATATCCTCAGAAACCCCAAGGATAGAATCCAGTTGGAAAACCAAGGGGTCTATGAAATACCCTGCAAAGTCTGCCCAGCCACGTACATTGGACAAACAAACAGACGAATAAATGCACGTATCGCAGAACACAAGAATGCCGTCAAAAAAGAGGAAAAAACTTCCTCTCTTTTCCAACACATGAAAGAAACAGGACACGAAATTAATTTTGCAGATTCCAAATTGCTCTTTAACATGGAACATCACCACAAGAGAATAATCATGGAAGCCATCGAGATAGAGAAACACCCTCACAACATGAACAAGCGTGACGACACATCCCGCTTGCCAGACATCTGGAAATTAGCCCTCCCCACAAAAACCGACACCAGATCCAGAGGCACACAGAACGCCATCACCAATCAACCACACCAGACCCAAACCCAGACCCTCTCCACAGATAAATTACAGACACCATCCAGTAGCCAAACCATGGTGGAACCTCCGGATGCTGCACCCCCCTGCAATCCCTACACAGATCTGGCTGGCACAGGCCACAAAACCACAGCTCGCCCCTATACACGAAGCCAAGCCAGAGCCAAGTTCAAGCCAAGTTCAAGAGGTCAAGACACGAAGGCTTTAGCAACTAATCCACACCTAATGACCCACCCAAGTGGTACTCAGGATATCACTCAAGAAATCACTCCAGATATCCCTCCAGTAATTAAGGAACAAAAGAAGAAAAGGCACACTAGCCTGGGAACTTCCTCCCTGCCCAGAACATTGGAGGCTATACACCACACCTCCTCAACAGTATTTATAGGAACTCAAACACTGAGATCCTGCTCTGTTCCAGTAACAAGAAGCCGAAAACACCAGCCTGAAGATGACGAGTGAGACCTCGTCGAAACGTCGCCTAGACACCCCAACTTTTACACGGGAAGACACCCGAGGACACCAAAACCTGCATTCCTGTACCCGTGAAAATCTACGAAAGCATATATATATATATATATATATATATGTTTTTCAATTAGATTACAGCCATCCTTTTCATACACATCAATATTCACAACAATTTAACACAATAAACATTCCAGCGTTTAGCATGTATGCATAAACAAAAAAGAAAATAAATATTATGTTACTTATTTTGCTGTTACTTTGTTTGCACCAGACTTCCTTCCACCTCCTACTTGGGTCCATGGGATTCTATGTTATATGCCTTTCCAGTTGTATCTAATATTCTATTTACCATCTTTTCCACTGTTTCTACTAGTTATCTTTACAAGAGTCATTCTAGCCCAGTCAAAAAAAATTAAAAAAAATTAAAAACATTTTTTGGCAGCTGTATAGAAAAGGAATACAAAATGTATTTCAGGTTAGGTCATTCACCATTGCTAAATTCCTCATAGAGGAACTGGTTATAAGCTTTTTTAAAACAAATAACTGGGACTGTGAAACATAATTCTCACTGGCATAGAGAACAGGTTTTGCTTTTTTTAGAGAGAAAAGTATCTGTAGTTTTTACTAGATGGCGAGGAGAATAAAGAAATTGTCAAACAAAAGGATGGGGGTGTGTGAAAAAATAAAGAATTACAATCTTCCACAGATTGAGCTACTAAGCAAGGCATTTTGAATCGAAACAAAGGATTTACTATTTGTGTGGCAAAGGAGATGACTAAGAAAAGTGTGTTGAAAATAGCAAAGAGAAATATGGCAAAAAGAAGAAGCAATAATTTTGTTTCCCATTTGTCCCTACAACTATGTGCATAACGATGATGATCTGCGCAGGTTGCACAGAGAATCCCAAGTTACATAGCTTCTCTGGGGGGGAAAGTTTTATTTTTATTTTTAAGCCTTATTAATGCCTTTTATCACTATCATGCATAATCCAGTTAAATTGGATAATTAGCTTTTAATCTGGTCCATTATCTGGCCTTTCCTTGCAACCACAGCACCAACAAACAGATCCAGAAAGATAACAATGGTTTCTCAAACTCATCACAATACACAAACTCTGCAGCATTTGAGAGAGGAATCTCCTTGTGCATCAAGGTCTGCTAATAAGGGCCAATCCAGATTTGCCAATGTCTTTTTAAAAGCTTTGAAGAAGTTTGGGGAGAAGGCCTGAACTGCAATATATTCCCAATCAAAGTCAACCCACTGGAGCTGAAAATAGCCACACTGCAGGAAAAGGAGAGGCACAATATTTCAGTCAGGAAAAGAGGATGTTATGAAGCCCCTTTTCCAGTATCACTGACCTGAGAACGCTCTCCAGCCCATACGCAAAGGATGTTGTGAGAGATATCCAGAGATTTCTCACATCACAATGTCTCCCATCGCATGTAGGTTGGGCCTCGGATTCCATCAAACAGGAACCACTTTGAGGTTTGCTTTTGTTTGTTAAATCGTGTCCTCCATCATGGAGAACAGTGTTGCAGTGAGATCACCCAAACTGCCTCCTTGTTGCTGGGGCGGGACCGTTTGGA